CCCGCACCCCCTCCCCCAGTTCTCTGAAATTTGACTTTGTAATTAATTTATTTGTCCCACAACCCTTAGCCGTCTGTATCCTTGGATTCTCACTATTCTACATTATGCAGGCTACAGGCAATGCACAGCTCCCATCCCAAACCCCCCAAGAAGTTGTCATATATTTTTCATATGATTTGTACAGCGGGTGATCTCTCGTCACGAAAATGGGTTCTGGTGGTGAAATGTCACCCGCAGCTGAAACATTAGCTGTGAATGACATGTATGGTATGAATAAATAAATTGCAGAGCCGTGCAGCTGCTTTACCTTGAAACCCTATCTGGGGAAATGCTGTTCTCTGAGGAGGAGAGCAGGCTGAGTTTGCTGTGCCAGTTCATGGGGCAGGACCCTCTTGGCATGGAGAGCTGGCAAAATCCTTTGTCTGTCATTTCTACCACACCTCTCCCCTTTCTGTGATTAATTGTCACCCAGATGCAGGAGTCTCCTTGAAAACTGACCTAGGCTGGTTTATTCCCTGAAAGTTTGTGTCTCATTAGTTAGTTGTCAGTCCTTGCTTGTGATACCCTGGTAAGTGCTTCTTTAAAGTTAATGATAAAACCTTCTGGGTTAATCTGTCTCAGGACATGAATTGTTGTTTTGTACCATTTGTGAATAGTCAAAGGGATTAAATATGGGATAAATAAATAATGACCTTCTGTAAAAGACCACTGTTTTGTCTCCACTTCCAGCACATATAGCTATGTAGTAACTCCTGTTTTTAAAGATATTTAAGTTCTTTTTAATGCTGTGGGAAAGTTCTGACAAGCTGACAGTAACAGGAGCCAACTCTGGGCATAAATACTGAATGCAGACTGAAGAAAAAAATTAAAAGAAAAAAGCTCACTTACTTGAGGTGACAGGATGGCTTAGATCCCCAGGTGGAAAGTGTCTTCTTGCATGGTGTATATCCTGACTACAAATGTGATCTCAATAGCCTAAAGCTCTCTACCCTCTGAAGAAATTCTGTTGGTGCAAAAATGCTTATCAGGGAAATAGCTGAGCTCCTTGCAGCCCTCTGTGCCTTCGAAACTTCCTCTGAGACAAAAGAGACTGATGTGGTAGGATCAAATACACCCTCCAAATATTTACATGTCTACAGCAGTTTAAATTTTCAGTATCTTTGGTGACGGACAGTAGTGCAACACACCAAACCTGTTGTGTCACAAAGTCTAGCTCTGGTCTGAGACTTTCTAAAAGTCTCTGGGAGGACCAAAAGATGGAGTATCCTTTGGAATGTGGTTCTCAGGAAGCCTTGGTGTGCAGCCAGAGTGCTCGGGGAGAGATGCAGAAAGTGAGCCCGGGTGACTCAGATGTTCTGCAGTGATGGCCAAGACTGTGCCACTGAAGTGCTTGTCTTTGGGATCGTCCTGGTGATCAAGTCAGAATGTCTTGGCAACTGGTGATCTGTATGAAAACAGAAGAGAGAAGAAATCGTTAAGATGGGATTAGAAATAGTAGAGTCATAGACTTCAGATCACCAAAAATGTCTGCCTTGGTTGTATCAGGAGCAGCCCAACACATCCATTTTCAACTGAGTGCAGGGAGAACTCTTGTATGTAACAGCATGGCAGACACTGTACTGGAAATAATGTTCTGTCTGTCAGTCTAGGTATCTTCAAGTCATCCCTTTGCCTCCCTTCCTGTGCAACAGCCCTCTCTCTACCTTTCTTTGTTCCTTGGCGAGAGTCCCTTCATCTATCCCTGTTCTCCTTAGAGGTTTTCAGAGTTTGGTGACTGTTTGGTATTTTGGGTCCAAAACAAGCTTTTTTTTTTTTTTTTTTTTTTTTTTTTTTTTTTTTTTTTTTTCTATGATAAATATAAACCAGCTGTGTCTTCTTTTTCTATTTTGGAATACTGCATTCCATACCCAGCAACACGGGAAAACATAGCTCTGCATCTTTTTGAATTAGCATCAACAGGGCAGCAATCTTGCCTATGAAAAACTAGGAATAAAGATCACCCAACAACCTTTCAGGAACTATCATTATTATTTGGAAAAGCATACAAATATGGCATGTGAAAAGAACATTAGTTGAGCTGTGGATCGGCAAGGAGAGTAGATGCTGGTGGGTGCTCCTAAAGTAACGTTTATGTTTGCAATTAGGGGAGAGCTTTGAGAGAGAGAGAAAAACAGATTATTTTTTATGAAATATATTAAGTGCAAGGGTGTTTTTTCCTCTCTCGGAACAGCGAGTTGCCAATATATAAACATTTCAGAGAGAATTTTACACCACCTCATCTTTATGTCAGGCAGCATTTAATGGCTGAACGATCTCCTGCCCCGGCACTTGGCAGCTACTCTCCAGGGACCGACTTTGAGGATTACAATGACAGTCTATCAGTGGATCTTTTCCAATATAAACTAGACTAGGACCATTTAAAATCAGTTGCTATCAACAAGTCAAATTAACTTTATTTATGTTAGAGGCTCTCCTATGAGTGTTTTATAACAACGTGGAACTTTAATATCCGGAGGGGCTTTTCCTGTTGTGGGTGTGATTTGGGAATGCGCTAATTCACGTGATTAAGAACAATCTACCTGATTTCTTTCAGAGTTACATGATTTGTAACATTCAGGTCCAATCAGCACTTAGGGCTCACACGGCTTTTTTCTGATTCCTGCTTTTTACAGGTTGAAATAACACTTCAGGATATCAATGACAACCCACCAGTATTCCCCACAGATATGCTCGATCTGACCGTAGAAGAGAATATAGGAGATGGATCTAAAATATTGCAGCTGACAGCCATGGACGCTGATGAGGTAGGAGCATGGTTTCATATTTGAATGTTGGTACTAAAAGTGCTGAAAATATGTTTTTACCTGTTCCCTTCATCCCTTTGTGAGAGCTTGGCCTCAGGAATCGTTGCAGTCATTCACCAAACTCTGTTCAGTATCATGGAGTCACCCAGAGGCAAAACCACATGAGCAAGTGAAACAACTACTCTGTTACTTGAAGGCTGCTCACTGGTTTGTACCTAATGAGTTAACGTTTTCCTGACATCTCTTAATGCCAAAAAGTGCCCCATGTTTTGGGTTTAGATGGTGTTGTTACCAGTCCCATCACACACAGCACCCAGTGACCTGGTGAAGGTGCTCACCTGCCCAATGTGTGATAAAGAGTTATTGACGTTCAGTTTAAGACCACAGCTCGAGATCTGAATTAACTTTGAAGGCAAGATGTTGTAGTTAAGCCCAGATTCAAGGTGTGCAATAAAATTAATGTGAGACAAGCCTTGGAGGACAAGAAAACTTTTGGTAATGCTTTCCTTTTGACTAGATCTAAATAATATTGATATTATCCTTTCCTAAAGAAGGTTTTGTTTTATAAAAAAAAGAGGGGAAAAGAAATAATGCTAAAATATGTGCTCTGAATGTGGACCCAACAGTTTTGCCCAGTTAGATTCATTACTGTGAGGACACTGCAAAAGTAAGGTGCTATTAGGAAACTACAGTGCTATTAATGCATTCATTTATTTTAGAAAGTAAGTTATAAAAATGTTAATGATATTGTTTTCATTTATTTGAGCTGTTTCTTTCCACAAGGAAAAGGCCTAAAAAGTCAATGTGAACAGGCAAAAAAGTTTGTGTTGTCATTAAAGTATAGGGTTACACTTGACAACAGCGAGCAGTTCTTGCATTCAAATAATAGGGTAATTCAACCTCCTCAAGAGAATTTTATTCCTGCCCTTTTTTGTGTTAGCTTGGTTAGTCTTCCTGTGATTGTTAATTGGTGTACTTAATCTTACTACTGCAGAGGGAACCATTGGAACACCCGTAGGAATAGTACAAATGTGATCATGAATTTTTTGTTCTTCCCTTTAGTTTCTGGGAGTAGCCTGATATATAGACAAAACCCAGGATTTTGGAAAGATGCACATCTGTAACAAATATTCTAGCTGTTTGTATTTATTTTAGGAAGAAATAAATATTGAACTACCACTCTCTAGTATGGTAGGGCAAATATATCTAGGATTTTAGGAATGCTCCAGCCTCTTTTTGACAATTTCTAAATTGTGTCTCATATGTTATCCATCCTGAAGCACTCCCTTCAGTGGGAAGTGATTTGTTACCTCAGAGAGAAACTGGTCAGTCTTTTCTATAAAAAGAGAGGATTTCAGTTTCCCTACCAGAATATTTGTAACTCAAAATTATTATGAAGAGCTAAAGTTTTCTTAGCTGTGTGAAGTTTAGCACCAAGATACTTACCTTTTTTTCCCCCCCCCTTCTCTAAAGTTGAGGGCACAGTGAATGCTCCTTGTTTTTCATATCATCTTCCTGTGGTGTTACACTTTCAGACATTCACACAACATTCACACTTTCAGAATCAAAGTTTTCACTTCCAAAGGATGTCAGAACCCTTGCATGGTTGAGAAGTGTACAAGAACGCCTCTTAGTAATACTTTATAATGATAGTAGGAAGGCAGCAAATTTCAGATCCTTGTCGGCTATAAGGGCATCACAGAGATCTGAGAAAAGATATACAGACATTCTTTAGGTGCTAAGTGATACCAAAGGCTTTAACAATTCCAACAGCTTCTAACACTTTTTAAAGTCACTTGTTGATAGGAAATTTCTCTACAGCTTTTTTAGTAGGTTTTACATATCTGTGTTTTGTTTTGCTTCTCATCTAGGTTGTGTATAAACCAGTATTGCAGGTGGCTGTGGTTACAGCTGCACTCTCTTAGAAGGACTCTGGCTGGTCAAACAAGGGGTGAAGAATGTGGTCACCTCTGACCTGAAATCTGAAATTCTGATCAGCTGTTTTTGCTCAGCCACACAATTGGAGGAAAAGCGTGTGACATCCCCTAGGTACACCTGAGCACACAGCTGAAGTGCTGCATGCAGGGCTGGGCACCTGCACAAGCCTGTTTTTTTTCTAAATTTCATTTTATCAGTTAGCTCAGTGCAACTCTTTGAAGCAGCATCCCAGAGAGAAAGTTTGGCACGAGGCACTTTGGTAAGGTCAGGTAACTAACGCTTGTCTCTCTTCTCACAAATACAAGCAGGCATTTATCTCTGTTAATTTGCTTTTTTAGGCAAGAGTGTTTGGAACAGTTACAGAATTTCTTTCTACCTGATCTCTTTGATCTGTTGTTCACCTCAGAAGTGCCACTTCTGTGCCAGCAGCAGGTTTCAGCTGTGACACTTCAGCTCTGGCCTGGCACCATAGGAGGGCATGGTAAATATCTGCTCACCCACCAAAACACGCTGTCAGGCATCAGTGGCACGCAGTGTGTAGGTACATTTATCTCATGTTACACTTTGCTAGCTTCAGAGCCTTTAAACCTGTCTTGGAAAAAAAAAAAAAAAAGGCATTTTTCTACATAACATTATTTTTCTTTAATGTTCCTTTCTAAGTCCACATGTATCCTTTTTTTAATCAAGGGCGACTGAGATTTTTTGACCCTAAAGCAAATGCTTTTGACTTGCAGCACAACCCAAAAGATCAGAACTGTGATTTTGATGACACGTGATTTGTCACTTGGGGGCTTTTTATTTACAGGGGTAAATGTATTTCCTTGCAGAAACTAACCTTTGAGAGGCTGCTGCAAGCACAGCCCTCATGAACGTTTCCTGACTGGGAGCTGCGGCTCTTGCCCTGTGCTGGCTGGGGGAACTGCTGTGTGGCTGCCCCAGGCTCTCCCTTTCCTACCTTTTCCATCCCACCTCCCGAGAGTGAGACATGCAGAGCTGATCCCACTACCAGGGATTTAATTTAACCTTCGAACATAAAACAGGAATAAACATTGATCCTTGTTAAGCTGTTACACTGCTCGGCGATGCTGGCTTGAAATTGAAACAGATATCAGATCTTTGTGGTACTAATTGGATGCAATCCTTCTATGAAAAGTGGAGCAAAAAATATCTGGGCAATCTCATCATTTCTCATCTCATAAGTAAAAACTGTGAGCATATGTGTCTTTACTGTGGGACTGAAGCAGGGACTGGGCAGGAAGGCTGTTTATTAAAGGAAACTGTTCTGAAAAATATTCGCCAAGTGCAGTTACTGGAACGATTCTTGTCTTACTGAAAGTTATGATGTGGTTTTCCTGGCGAATAACTTGATTTGACCACTTCTGTTTTTTCTTAGGGAGCCAATGCCCTGGTGACATACACCATTATCAGCGGTGCGGATGACAGCTTCCACGTTGACCCCGAGTCAGGGGAGCTGATCGCCACCAAGCGCCTGGACCGGGAGCGCCGCTCCAAGTACTCCCTGCTGGTCCGCGCCGATGACGGCCTGCAGTCCTCAGACATGAGGATAAACATCACTGTTAGCGACGTCAATGACCACATCCCCAAATTCTCCAAGCCAGTGTATTCCTTTGACATCCCAGAAGATGCCACTCCAGGTAAATAGGAGATGGAAATATGATCACTGACCTCTTCTGTTGTTTTCTTCTTTTAAAATCCATTTCATACGCAAGAGTGTTTTGATGCTTAAAAGTCAGGTTGTAAGCTAGAAAATATTTGCATCAAATAAAAACTGTGCTCCATTACATGTCTCCAGATGAGAAATGAATATTACTTGCAACAAAAGTATTTTATTTATAATTCCAAGACTTTATACAGACTGCTAATACAAAAGCAGTATCTGCCAGTAGCAATAACTGCAGCATCTTAGCAGCTTATTTTAAAACATGAATAAACAAAGGAGATGCAAATGACATGGTAATAGCTTTCCAGCCTTTATTAGGGCTTTCATAGGCATGGGAGTCTCAGTTTGGGACAACCAGGGTTACTTACCCCCATGCCTCCAACTTTTGCACTCTGCCCCACAATTTGGTGGTGGTTTGCATTTAAGGATTACAGTGCAATCGGCTGTGCCTCAGGAATCTGATTTGGAAGTAACTGAGATGTCTGTGTAGCATGGTGTGGTTTGGTTGTAGGCCGTCAGCCATGCTCTTTTCTCTTGTTGCTCAGTTTTGAGGCTTGATCTGTTTTATCAGGAATGAGCCTGGAATAGGCAATCCTAATTCCCTCTACATTAAAATGAGGCTTCTCTCATTAGTGCTTTATACCCAGCTTAGCAGTGGTAGATGGTGAAAGAAGAAATGGGCTGATTTTGTAGTTGAAATACTTCACCTTCTCCTGTTCCATTCTCCAGGAGTCCTAGACTAGGCTCACCCTAAGTGGTAGGATGGGGAGCTCTTGCATAGCTCTGGGATAGAGAAAAGAACCCTGGAGGTTCCTCTCTCTATCCCAGAGAGTAATCCCTGTTCCCCTTGCAGCTAAAGAAACATTAAAACTTGAGGTTATGAAAGGGTGTCAGTCATACCAGCATATCCAGGTGGATTAAAGGGGGTTCTTCATTCTGATGACACAAGAAGTTTTCATTATCATGTTGCTCAAAAATAACTTACTGTGCTGTAACACACGTAGTTCATCTGGTTTCATGGGAAGAAATTAAATTATCTATTTTCCTGGAAATGAGCTGATCTTAATTATAATTAGTGTTTGAAATATTAAAACGTGACACTTGATTTCCAAACTTTAGTCAGTCGAGCGAGGGCAGCTATGCAGAAATGAAAACAATGGCACAGATTCATAAGGAGTTGAATTTCAGAAAACAGCAAAGAACGAACCCCTATAAGGTTTCTAGTTTTCTAACCGCAGTTACCCGGTGAAGGCACTGCTCAAATGTAGAGCTGGGATATGTGGTATGTACTGACATTTTGGTTTCTGCACTTAGAAAGAAATATCTAGAAGGTTTCAGAACTTGTAATTATCTACACGAATGAGAGGGTCCTTTGAGTCCTAGAAAGACAATACGTATCGGGAGAAAAGGTATTTTTGCCCCAGTTGATACCATTTGAAGATAAAAGCAAACATTCCTGGGCATTTCTTGGGGCTTTTCAGTAGCCCTTTAAGGCAAGAATACGATGTTCCTTTCAGCTTTGGAAAACCTTTTGTGAGTTAGTCATACAATAAATAGTAAGGTTTGAATTTTCGCTGGAGGATACAAGGATTTCATCCTTGATGATGAGCTGGCTCCAGAGTGCCTGATGGTGCTGTCCTGTTGTGCCATGCAGGTTCCTTAGTGGCAGCCATCCTAGCCACTGACGACGACTCCGGTGTCAACGGGGAGGTCACGTACACCGTAAGTGAGGATGATGAGGAGGGCGTCTTCTTCCTCAATCCCGTCACTGGGGTCTTCAACCTGACCCGTGCGCTGGACTACGAAGCACAGCAGTACTACATCCTCACCGTCCGCGCAGAGGATGGGGGAGGCCAGTTCACGGCCATCCGAGTGTACTTCAACATCCTGGACATCAATGACAACCCGCCGGTGTTCAGCATGGCCTCGTACAGCACGTCTGTGATGGAGAACCTGTCCCCAGGCTCAGCTATCCTCAACTTCAGTGTCACTGATGCGGACGATGGTAGGGTTTTCCTCATTTTCTGTATCTCTGCTGATGAAAGAAATTATTTTTCTCCTATTTTATATTAGATGTAAGTGGGTGGTTTCTTCCTTACTGTTTTTTTTTTTTAATGATAAAAATAGAGTCGAATACTGCTTTTTAACTGCTACTGCAGAGCTGTGTTTCACTTAGAGAACGTTACAGCTGGTGAACAGAATAATTTCTCCCCTGGTGCTTGTGCTGCACATTCAATTAGACGTTAAGTTTACCTGTAGGCTTCCTTTCTGAAAGTTTATAATATATTCTAAATGAGGTTGTGATAATACCAGGTGTTATCTGAAGTCATCTTAAACATCCTGTAAATTTTAAGTGTGTTGTGAAGAGAAATGTCATCTACGTGGTGTTGATAACTGGAGGTTAAAAATCTGACTAAAAGAGATTATGAGAAAATTTCTCATTAAGATAAGCTTTAGTCATGGGATTATTTATGGCATCTAAAAGGTGTTAATGTGTTTGGAGTGTAAAAGGTACAATCTTTATAAGCTGGCTTAACCATTTTGCCAGTTTGTGCCCAAGCAAGAATAATTATAGAACGTGACCATAAACATCATTCCGCAGAGTACTGCATTTTCTGAAGTGTCCACAGACATTAGTCAGTGTGACTTAATACCAAACTATTCATAATACTCGTGGTGACTTTACAGGTGAAGGTTATTTTTGTGACATGTTGAGCAACCTTGTCTCCTCTCAACTTGACAGGGCTCAGCAAAGCCCACGGATGTGTCTCACGCTGAAACGTGCTTCAGGCAAAAAGCACCTACATGCTTCGAGGAATTTGTGCACATGAAATGGCTGAGCCAGTCGAGATTATTCAGTAAAGCTGATTTTCCTCAGGAAATGCTGAGTTGCTGAACTCAAACATTTTTGTGGGGAGATAAATTTTGTTGCTGATAGATAGAGCTTTCCATGGTAAAAATTGCGCAACTGGTTTTGGGATCAAGCTGAGGAAGTGAGGGAGAAGAGATTCCATAAGATAAGCCAAGAAGTCAGAAATTATAACTTGGTGATACTGGCTATTCTTGCATGGATCTCTCACCACTCTCATTAAAGCTTTTATTTTATGTAAACTAATCATAAGTTGGAGGAGGAACTTGTACTTGCATCATGCATACCAGGGAAGGGATTATTCCTTCAGACCTGGAGATAAATGGATTTGTATCTATCTCCTCCTTTATTTCTTATTCTCCCATTAGGAGTGCAAGGCTTGGTTTCAAATCTTTTTGGAAGTTAATTTCACTTCACCATTATGGGTCTGTTTTCCTTTTCTCTTGCACCTCATACATTAATTTCCATCTGCACACTGTGAATGGGAACTGTGTCATAGCACTGACATATCATTTTACATTCATCATACACTCAATTATCAGGGAGGCAAATGAGTATTTGAGGAGCCATGCAATGAGAAGTCAGATATCTTGCCTTATATATTTTTTGGCACACTTTTCTAACAGGCTGGATTTAAAACTAATAGGGCAGAAATATCATTCCAAGAGCGTGCCAGTTTGAGTTCTCCCATAGGACTGTAACTTCAGCAAATGTTATGATCTATTGTTTCTGTTTCAAGCCCAAACTTGTTATCTTCTGTTGTCTTATATTAATCTAGAGTACAGAAATAGTTAGCATTATACTCTTCCCCTTGTGACTCACCGATAATGCACTCAGTAGAACTATAATTTTGTTGATTATTTATGTTACGTGATCCCATAGTTTGAAGGAGCTCTGAAAAGACATTGTTTTATAATGAGATATGCCTGTTGTTTTAGGATCAACACTGATAAAAGACAGAAACATGGTGATAGTGAAATGGGTCCAATTTTCATTTTCTTGTTCAACACACCCCTTGGGAAACAGTAGCTGTTTATCTCTGTTTCATATACAGACTTATAGTAAATATCAGCTATAGCTCTTAGATATTTACAGAGCAATAAAGAAATCAGTTATCTTAAACACCTTCATTTTATGATTTAGATTTTTTTTTCCCCACATAGAATTACCAGGAAAAATCTCAGAGGAAAGGATATGCTTGTCTGTTTATTAAAAAGCATGGTAAGATATTCCTGTAGGCAAAACCCAGTCTCATTTCCCAGACAATCTCTACAGGTATTTATAGAATGACAGGGGGGGAAGTAGGATTTTTTGTTTAGTCTCATTAGTAAATAAATAAAAATAGAAACAAAACCCTTTAAAAGAGCATTATCATGAAATTGGTGACTCCATGTCTGTCCTTTCAGAGTTTTATCAGATTAACCCTCAGATTAAATAAACCCAAAGTTCAGCAAAGAGGATATCCCTACATTCTCCCTAAGAAAAAAACAACTCCAAACCCTGAAAGGGGGGATGGACAAGGTGCAGAGTGCCAGCTTGGCATGCTGTGTTTAAAAAAAGAATAGTTCATTAAGTGACAGTCCTGTTCCCACTGATATTTAGGTAACTTCTGCATCACAGTTTAATGTATATAAGCACTACCAGCAAGGAAAGCTATGAGAATACAGGGCAAGGAATGAAAAGGTTCACAGAGGTGAGATAAAGAAGAGCAACAGTAAATTTTATAGGAATAAATACCATAGAAAACACGAGGGGAGGGGGAAAAAGAGATTATTTTTAAAAGTCATTTCCTTCTGTAGGATCAAAATCCCACCCATTTCCAAAAAATTTGAAAAAATTTGGCAGGAAGTGCTTTATTGAAATCAAGACTTTCATCCATATAATTAGTCATTTGAAAATACAACTGAACAAAAACCAGACTAGCATTAAACTTTCACCATCCTTCACTTGATCAAAGTAATGGAAAAACACTAATATCTGACATGCAAATGTATTAATTTCTTTAATTGCATTCAAATATTTTGTGTTTCATGTTTGGTTCTATTCATTTTATAATTAAGTTCCTACAAGAAAAGAAGAGAGAGGGAAAGATGCCAATTAGAGTAGCCACTGGGGAAAGACAAGTAAGACTAGATTTCCCAATCTGAACATAATGAACAGCCGAGATTAATAAATCTAGTGCAGGAATAATTTTATTATCAAAGCAATTCAGTCAGAGAGAAAAGAGCTTCTGAGTAAAAATTACAAAATGCACAGCAATCAGTTACTTAAGTGGGCAGCTTGGTTTCTGTGCATGAAAAAGCAAATTTAAGCGGTAAATTAGTAGGTAATGGTCTGGTAGTCTCCTGATCCAAAATCACAGTCTTGAATACTCAAAGGAAGAAAAAGAAATTTTTGAGGTTAATTAAAATCAGAGTAAGATAGATGAGAGAAAACTCAATTTCACAATCAGATGTTCCCCAAAAATTAGTAGTTTAGAGTGATCTCTGGAATCAAAGCAGTAACACACATTTGTTTCCTGTATGGCTTATTTAAGGATATTTCACAGCCTTGTCAAGACTCAGAATGCGTTTCCCTTACTGGAATGATAAATCTCTCCCTTGACCATAATTGCCACTTATGTTTCGATCATGAGATGAGGACTGTTCATCTGATATTTTGGAATACCATGCCATATATGGGAAGCATACCTTTCCCCAGTATTCACTCTTGGCTTGCTCCAGCTAGGCTTGGGAGTTTCTGGTTGTGGCTTTTTTTAATTGAGTGGAAGAATTCATGAAATAATTACATTAATAATAATGTTGCTTAGCTGAACTGGGGAAAACGGAGGAAAACAGATGTTCACTGAGCAGCTGAACCACTGAATCTTGGTTTCTCAAGGAAAACCCTTCAAACCCTTTATCCCTAACCATTGTAGATGGGGGAAAATTACACGTGGTGCCACCATGCAGCTCCTGCTGAATGAAATGCAGAGATGAACCCTAATGGCCCCTCCCTCTGCGGCCTCTCCAATTAACATCATTCCCTCTCTCTCTCTTTTGAACTCATGTCAGAATATAATAATTTCAAAGGCTTCTGTTCCACTGTGACACTTGGCTGAAATTAGCAGATGGATTAAAAATTGGTGATGAGGAGGCTGAACAGTCAACACCATCGAACGGTGCTCATTTCCATAGGGAAATGAAGGAAAATTTCCTATGGAAATGAGGCCAGAAACATTCATATCTGGGTCAGTGGGATGAAGTCACTCTATCTACCTTTTTTTTTTCCTCCTTACCCAACCAGGCTCCAACTCTCAGCTGTCCTTCAGCATCGCATCCGGGGACAGCGCGGGGCAGTTTGGCATCGACAACAGCGGGATGCTGAGCATCAGGCAGCCTTTGGATCGGGAAAGCCAGTCTTTCTACAGCCTCGTCGTGCAAGTCCACGACATGGCCCCTCTCGCCGCCTCCAGGTACACAAGCACAGCTCAGGTTTCAATCATTCTGCTGGATGTGAACGACAGCCCTCCAACCTTTATCTCCCCTAAGCTGACCTACGTGCCGGAAAACACGCCGATAGATACAGTTGTGTTCAAAGCCCAGGCAACCGATCCTGACAGTGGTCCCAACAGCTACATTGAATACAGTCTGCTCCGGCCTCTGGGAAACAAATTCAGCATCGGCACTATCGACGGGGAAGTGAGGCTGACCGGGGAGCTCGACAGAGAAGCTGTGTCCAACTACACCCTGACTGTGGTAGCCACAGACAAGGGCCAGCCGTCCCTTTCTTCATCTGCGGATGTGGTGGTTATAGTCCTGGACATTAATGACAACAACCCGCTTTTTGCCCAAAAGCTTTATAAAGTAGAGGTGGAGGAAAATACTTTGACGGGGACGGATTTAATCCAGGTGTTGGCTACGGATGGAGATGAAGGGACAAATGGGCAGGTCCGCTATGCCATCACGAGTGGAGATGCCAATAATGAGTTTCGTATCGATTCTGTGACGGGGGTGATAACAGTTGCCAAGCCTTTGGATAGAGAGAAGAAGCCCTCCTATACACTGACTGTTCAGTCGGCTGACCGTGGGAGCAGCCCGAGGACTGATACCACAACAGTCAATATTATTCTGAAGGATGTCAATGATTTTATTCCCACGTTTGAACTTTCTCCCTACTCTGTGAATGTTGCTGAGAATTTAGAGACGCTCCCAAAAGTTATTCTTCAGGTGAGTACGTTCACCAATAAATATGTATCCCTGACAGTTAGTAGCACACCTACATGGTATTGATGAACAGTGTCCTTCCTTCAAAATTAAACAGGGGCAAGACAATTGAAAAGTTGTCTCATCAAATTTGCAGGCCTTGGCTTCCTTTTCTTTTTGTTTGTATGGATGGGGGCTTTCTACCAAAAGTTTATATTATGCTTTAGAGTTCTGTTTGTGTTTTCCCTACCTATACTCCCACCTCCACTGAGACTTTAAGAGTTTGCTCTATCTCTCATCTCATTCCCAACTTTTATGCAACAAATCTCTCAATCTGATCATTGCCTACATGGGATGAGGCTCTATGCCAAAACAGAGAGAGCACTAAATGGATTCAGACAGCAGGACGTGCAATGCTTGCTTTCATATGGAGCTCAGCCTATACTATGACATCTGCGGTTTTCACTGAGCCCCATCACAGTTTTACTGTATTTATGCTTGAGAAAAATAAGTAATCTACTATTTAGTATTTTCAAACTATTCTTTTAAGTCCATTGCCACTGTGTTAAGTAATTTTTTACAATTGCAGCTAATTTATACTAAAGCATTTGGATTCTGATACTTTGGATTATTGTCAAAGATAATATTTCCTCTACCCCAGTAAAATTTTACAGACCCTGTGCTCATCAGTTCTTGATATCTATTTTCTTTGCATTGCTTTTGTAGGTTGTAGCAAGGGATGATGATCAGGGCCTGAACAGCAAGCTGACTTATGTGCTGGTGGCTGGCAATGAAGAAGGAGCCTTTACTCTCTCGGGCAGTGGAGAGCTGCGCTTGGTCCGGAGCCTGGACCGGGAGGCAAAGGAGCAGTACATGCTACTGATCACAGCGGCTGATGCAGGTAAGGCAAACAAAAAGTCTCTTCTGCTGCGACCTTGCTGAAAAAATTGCACTCTGTGGAGACAAGAGATGTTTTCATGAAGGTCTGAAACTTTAGCAGATAGAGATTCATAGCTCAGTTGAGTGGAGATCTCTGTGGGAAGACCTGGGCTCACCTGATGTCAAAAGGGAATTTGGTTTCTGGAAATCAGGATTTTATTCTTCTCTCCAATTGTCTGCTATTAATAGTACAGATTTAGATAGGCTGATTTTTGCCCTGCAGCATTAAGTGGTTCTGCCTAAGTCATGAGAGCCTCATGGAAAACCCAACAGAAACAGCAATATAAAGTTGGCATCAGAAATGAGCAGTGAGATCATAGGAACAGTCAGAAAACAGCTATGGACTACCCAGTTAATCTTACTGAAATCTTACCCCTGAAAAGTAATGAGAATTTGCATTTCAACATTTTCATTTTCTACTTTGCTTAGCATCCAATCTTACGTTTGCTCCACAATGCCAAATGTATTCCAAGTTCCCTCATTTTAAAATAGGATATAGTCTTGTTGCAAAGATTAATTACTTTCACTTGAGGTGTCTGAGCACAAAATTTTGGTTTCAGGTTTTGGTATAAATATTAGTAACAAAGACATCCTGCATCGTATTCTGGACTGATCTTCAGCCTCCCATGGTTTGATGGATTTAATTTACTGCAGGACTTGTTCTTTGTGATAGTAAAAATAGAACAAACCCGACTTGTTGACAAGTTTTGGTTTCTGCCATACTGTGTGCAGTATCTTGTGTCAGTGACAGTATCTATGGTTTATATTTTCCTATTGCAGCAGGGCTCAGGTATTCCACAGTCTCGGCTGAAGCTGAGAAACACAATTTTAGGACTTGATGCATCATTTGTCTTGTGCTTTGGCTAGAGATACTGTTTGCTTTATGGGGTTTGCACTGGCTTTCCGTTACTCTAAAGCCGCAAAATGCTCACTTGTGACTTGGACTTGCTTGAGCTTGAACATCCTTATGTTCCTTCGGAAGCTGCAGCTGGATTTGTTAGGGATAGCAGATCCTTGATGTCTGTTTGGTCTCTCAGTCCAAGCTGGCAGAAGTCAGTGAGGACTGTAGAGAATGTATTCACTCTACACACAATATACCTAAAGGCTGAACTGATAAAGGGTGTTGTGCAGCCAACAATTACTGTCCTTCTTGAAAGAGGGAGGGCGGCAGAAGTCAGCTCTAGCCCACACCTCACACCGCGTGTAAGCCACGAGCCTGACAAGAGCATAGTCTTTTCCTAGACAGTGGTTCCTAAAAAAAAAATATGAAATCCAGGAGATTTAACCAACAGTTAAATCCAGCAGTCCCAAATGAAAATATTTAGTTGTGTTGGGAGATCTCTGAGATTCAGATAATCTGGGAAGATGTTAATGCATGAAGTACCTTTGCCATAAAGTGGCTGACAAGAACAGCAGCTGAGTTCCTGTGTTTAAACATGTAGATATTACACTGATTAAACACTGTATGGAGCTTCTTTTTTAGATTTGCTATGTTCTTATAAAGCTAACTCACAAGTTATTATGCCTTCCTATCAGTGTTAAAAAGCACTAGTGTGCTCAGAAGCAGCTGTTCAGTAGTAACTGTAGGCTAATGTAACTATTCTAATGTGCTTAAGTTTATAATCTGACTAATCCACAGATGGTGTGATCTGGGATAGTTTTCAGCTAGCCCAGTGAATAATGTTAGTTATCATCTTCTGATTATGCTGAAGACTTCCTCTAAATTCATGCCATCAAAGAATACATTGAAAACTATGTTAGTCCTGATTTATCTAAACTAAAACATCACAGGAAAGTAAGTAGAAGTCTTCAGTAGAAGTCAATGTCAGATGTTAACTTGATTTCATGGAAGCAGAATATGAACTATTGACATAGTAGACATCCAGGTGGTACCACACTGAGTGTTGTTACTCAGTGCCTGTTTCATTAACTGAGGTATTTCTTGCCTATTAGCAAAAAAGATGTCAGTGACACAATCTTGAAATTGATAAGAACAATGTTTTGAATATTTATGTCCTTGAGTAGCTCTTAATTGTTTATAAAAGAAACTCTCACAGGCATGTCAAGCTCTTTGCCTGCGTAACTACTTCTTTAGTGTCTTAGTTTCTGTTGGTTTGATAATTCTTAGAAAGAAGGGTTTTGCATAGAGACAATTCATCCAGAAACAGACATGCAAAACAGGTAGTGCTCCTCTGTAGGGAAACCGTGCTTGCCAAATTGTTGAAGAAAGCAGACTTGTCTGAAACTCTCCACATCCGTATTATCTTTGAAAATGAGTCAAGGAAAAGGTTATTATCCTTTGCATTTTGAGGTTGGCTTTTATTTGCTCTAATAAACAGTCTTTCAAATTGTCTTTAGCAGCCCAGTCTTGCCATATATGGTTTGGGGTTTTTTTACAGATAACAATCATGGTATACATCCAGATGCACTTAACTGTGGAAGAGTCTGGGTAGCCCATCAAGAGCAAAATTCCGTCTGTCCAGTCCACTTCCCATCTCTCTTAGACTCTGCATCTCAATTTTTATAGGCTACACTGCCTGGTTTAAACTATTCAGACATGATATCCTGCTCCTATAGAGGTCTATGCCAACTCTCGCTGTTCCCTCCAAGAAGCAGATGCAATGCATAGTTAGAAGCACCTTTAGACGCAAGAACTAATGGATTCCCAACTTAGTTTTAGCGGTCTTCCTGATCTCCTTATCCATAATCAAGGATTTCTTACGTTTATGTTTATTTTCACTTCATCAAGTTGTGGCTGTAGGTTCTTGCAGTGCTACTTTAGACTGTGTAGAGGAAATTGGTGGAAGGAGGAAGATCTTTAATTTTTGCTTATTGTTATCTCAAGGTGTCAGTCCAATGCATGTATAGGTTTTATAGCATGTACTGGCAGCAGGTACACTGAGTCCAATAGCCAGTGAAGGATTAGGGCATGGTAAATTTAGTGTGGAGCCAGCAGGGCTGCATGGGATGTGGTGGCTGCAGCAGCTCAAAGGCCTCTGTGCTTTTTGACCATGCACAGATGTGCTCTTTCAGAGCCCAGATCTCCATCCTGGGCATGTGAGAAGAACTGTTGAGTTATTAAGAGCTGAGCTGCTCATAAACATACTGGGCAGGTCAGGTAGAGGACCACTGGTGGGACCACATGCGCCAGCAGTGGAAATTTGGGCAGTTGTTGAAGAAATGCTTTCCCAAGCAAGAGCTCCCCTCAGGCCCAGAGAAATCAGTCATGATATATGCATTGTCCTGGCTCTGGCCCAACTATTCCTTGGCCTTGCCTGCTAATCCTCTGCCTGGCCCTCAGGGTAGATCACAGGTCAGGAGAGGGTCTTCCCTCCGCCCTAGGGGAGGGAAAAGACTGACAAAACGTTTTCTGGCACTTCGCTCAGTGATTTGTGGCCATTCAGCCTGCTTTGTGCCCAGTTTCCACAGGACAGTCTGCACAAAGGTTTCTGATTTCAACCTGAGTTTATCATCACTCTTCCCTCACTTCTGCACTTCCACCCTGCTCTTACTACTGCTGGATCTTGGACACTAGACCACTACTCCAGGCAGCAGGGATTTATGAGGACGCGCAAAGCGTCCATCACTCGGAGCATTCAGCATCTTCCAGAACTGTACACCTGTGACTTTGGTCGACAAATAAAACATAATTCAACCCCAAAGTTCAGCCATCCCGTTTCGGAGCCCCTCTTGCAGCACAAGCTGTAAGACCAGAGTGCATGAATTATAAATATAGCGACAGGCAAAATGATGGACTGTGGAATAACAGGATAGTGTTTGGATTGCAGATGCTCCCCCAGAATGTCTGCTAATATAAGTGCCAAGAAACCTACACGCAGCTGTCTGAGTGTGTCTTCATGGGCCTGTTTCTACCACATAAATCTGGTCTGCTTTGCCATACCTTTCTTCATGGCAAAATGGTTGGGAAAAGAGACTTTCTGTGGGGTTTTTTTTACCCCATCTGGAGGGGACGCAGCACTGGGTCAACATTCAACTCTGGCAGCATGACAAGAACTGGTGCAGCTGCTTTTATCATCCGTGTCTTTAACTCTTTGAGCAATTTTCTTCACAAATGTTAGCATTCCAACAGTCCTCCTCCTTTTATTTATTGATAGCAGGGATGTGGAATAGCACATCTGGAAACCTGCTCACTGCCCAGGACTACTGTTTAAATAAACTGCAGCCACCATCTCTTGATTTGGTTGTTCAGAATGGCATGTTGCCACAATGTAACCAAAATCAAAATGTGATGTTTCTAATTAGAAGCTGTGTTCCTGTGAAATTTTTTTTCTTATTTTATTTTCTTAAATAATCTTTTTACTGATTTAGATAAATAGTCCTGAAAGAAAGGAATCAGTGGACTGATTATTATATTTAGTTAGCTGTTCTTTGTATACATCCCCGACTTGGATGAAAAACAACCATATGTTTTTTCTTTAGGAAATGTTGGTCTCTGACTTATGCATTCTTTCCTTCAAGAATGTAGGAGGGCAACCAAATAGGGAGGTTATATCCTTTTCAGGAATTCTCTTCTGAGCTAGGCTTTTGGTTCCCTTCAATCCTAAAATCAAATGAAACCTGACAATGTAGCTGTATTGTTTTTTAATGCGTTTGAAGATATTTCCCTGTTTGGGGTGACAACTAAAGAACAGCTGTATTTTCTAGTAATGTTAAGAAAGTCTTGAGACTCAACACCTTTTGAGATTGATGTGACTGGGCTTGAAGACATTTGTACGCATCCTGTTTTCTTAGCAGACACTGTATGTCTCCTTAACATAGAGTCTACAGTGTGAAAAAATGTTGCCTGAAAAGAATGATTATTATTTTTAAAACTAATTTAGCTCTTTTAAAATTTTGGTACTGTCAAAACAAATAAGCAACTCACAAATTTTCAGTTAGAAGTGTCCTGTCCTCCATGCTATCTGTGCAATGTCTAAATGTACCCATCACTTCAGGCTTTAG